AAAAAAAAAAAAAAAAAAAAAAGCCACAGGTCCAGCACTAAGGGAGCTCACAATTAAGTGTGTGTGTGTGTGTGTGTGTGTGTGTGTGTGTGTGTGTGTGTGTTTGGGAGAAGGTGGTGTCAGACTGCAATGTAAGAGTGATACTCAGGCACATGGCACTGTGGGAGCTCTGATGGGTGGCCAATGGATTCAGTACAACAGAAAGGACCAATACGTAGGATGTATGGTGACTCTAGGCTATCTTTCACATTTATCTCTGCTAATTGATGAAGACATGGTTAGTCATGGGTGTTTACGTTACAGGACATTTAGCTTTCACTCCTACTCACAGTTCAAGATTCTAAAAAACCAAACCAAAACAAAAACAGACGTTCTCTAGAGCCAGATCAAGGCTCAGATACTGGCAGTCTCGCTCACTGCTTTCGGCTGAGAGAACAAAGCAATGCTACTTAGAAAGAACATAAAGTGACCTGGTGGACATTAGAACCCTCACTAAGCCACAAAACAGATCAACAGTTGCCTGAGAAATGAAGACTAACAAATGAAGAGCCAGGAAGCAGAAGTTTGCCTTTTGGTCCTTTTAGCCTGCATTTTAGGGGTCTCTTTTCTCCCCTGAAGAAGCTGTGTTGCCTCCAGTTTCCTAGTGCCTCCTTGACTCTTGCTTCCCTATGTGCCTCCCATTCTTATTCTTAGTACTTGAGACATAGATTTTCTGAATTAAGTTACTGAGGTAGCCAAACGTGACTTCTTCCTTAAGGAAGCCCCCATTTGAAAGAGGGGACATTATGTTTTAAGCCCAATTAATAAATCTTTGATTTGAATATTTCATGTATCAGCACTCAGGTTGGGGGAGAGTGTTGGCATTCTACAACAAAGGCAGTTGTCACTTCTTTATAGACAAGGCTGGCCCTGACATGAAACCTTCTACCTAGAAGTAATGAGAACCATTTAGTGCAAGACCAGATATGTCAAATGAAATAAAAAGTTTTATTTATATGTTCAGGTCCAAGGTGACCTTTATTTATTTAAGACTGAAAGTATGTAAAACTTCATGTTCTAGGGGGAATGATAGGATAATATTGACTTGGTCAGGTATGTTGACCTTCTCTGGGTCACTGAAGTGACATCGAACTTGAAAAACTAAGGGGTCTCAGCAGTAGCACTGCTAGGAATTTACCCAAGGGATACAGGAGTACTGATGCATAGGGGCACTTGTACCCCAATGTTCATAGCAGCACTCTCAACAATAGCCAAATTATGGAAAGAGCCTAAATGTCCATCAACTGATGAATGGATAAAGAAATTGTGGTTTATAT